TGTGTGTGTGTGTGTGTGTGTGTGTGTGTGTGTGTGTGTGAGAGAGAGAGAGAGAGAGAGAGAGAGAGAGAGAGAGAGAGAGAGAGAGAGAGAGAATATATGTGGCACACATGTTGGAGGGAGGGTGTGGTTTTGTCTGTCTACCATGAGTTCATGAGTTCCAGGGATTAAACTCAGATCATTAGGTCTGGTGGGAAGGTGTCTTTCCTTGTTGAACCATTTCACTGCCCACCCACAACTGGATTTTTGAGACAAGTTCTCTCATCCAAACTTGAAGCTTGTCAGTTAGACTAGAGCAGGTGGCCACCCTTTTAGCATTGAGACTACAAGTTCACATCTCCCAAACCCAGAGTGAAACTTTTGAGATGCCTCAAAAAAGCACAGAGCTTTTTCATTACCTGACAAAACCAGGAAGCTTGTATTAAGAATTTTGCTGGACAAAATACTAATGAAAGTAGCTAAAAGAAAAAAGGTCTGTGTGGCTCAGTTTAAAGGTATAGGTTCACAGTAGGGAAAGCATAACAGCCAGAGAGGTTCTAGCTCTGGACAGCAGGAGTGTGAGGTGACTGGTCCCATCACAACTAGTGTCAGGAAGCAGAGAGGTGAATGCTGGTAAAGTGCTTATAGTTTCATCCTGCCCATGGGATGCTGTCACCTACTTAGTTAAATCTCTGCCACTGTCCTCATAAACACTCAGTGCTATGTTTCTGAGTGAATCCAAATCTAGTCAAGTTGACAATGAAGATAAACTGCCACACCATCCACCTACAATGGCTCAAGGTAATGAACACCATGCCTCGTCCACCTCGGCTCTGACCTCACTGGGTCAGGAGGCTCCAGGAGAGGTATTCATTCACAATCTAAAGCTTTGACACACCAGACACAAACACAAAGACTAAGACCCGGGCAGACTTACAGTTTTATCTGCTGCTCTTTTAGTTCTAACTCCGCTTTGTTGGTCCTTTGATCCAATTATGATTGAATTAATCATTTAATAATGGTTCTTTAGTTCTTTCAACTTTGATGTCTTTCTTCTTTGCTTGTTTGCTGTTTTGTATTATATATATTTACTTATGGGGAGGAAAGGATGTGGGCCACAGTGTACACGTACAGGTCAAAGGACAACTTGTGGGAAGTGGTTTTCTCTTTTAACCTCATGAGTCCTGGGGATCAAACTCAGGCTGTCAGGCTTCACAGCAAGTGCCTTTACCACTAAGCCATCTGGTTAGCCTATTTTTTTTTTTTTCTTCTTAGTTTTGTGGAAAGAACCCAGAGACTTGTGTATGCAGGACACATTCTTTTTTTTTGTTTTTTCAAGACAGGGTTTCTCTGTGTAGCCCTGGCTGTCCTGGAAGTCACTCTGTAGACCAGGCTGGCCTCGAACTCAGAAATCCACCTGCCTCTGCCTCCCAACTGCTGGGACTGAAGGCGTGCACCACCACTGCCCGGTGCAGGACAAATTCTTTAACATGAAGTTGCACCTCTACTTCACTCTTCTTTAAAACAACAGAACAAGGTCTCAGTGTGTAACTCGGGCTGGCCACAGGCTCAGGGCAAGCCTGCAGCTCCAGTTCTGCCACCCAGTCTGACGCTAACTTTCCTGTGGCTCAGTGCTCAGGACCCAAGCTCACTTAGCTCTACTAATCAGAGTATAACTGCCACATGCCACTGTGATGCCCCACTTCCGGCACACTTACCATCAAACTGATAGTGCATGGTTTGATGGATGCGCTCTGTGACACTGGCCAGCCAGTCTTGGAAGGACAAGGTCACTTGTGCCTCATCTAACAGCTGACCACAGACTAAAAAAAGAAAAAACAAAACAAACTTTTTTATTAATTTTACTTTTTTTTTTCAAGACAGGGTTTCTCTGTGTAGCCCTGGCTGTCCTGGAACTCACTCTGTAGACCAGGCTGGCCTCGAACTCAGAAATCTGCCTGCCTATGCCTCCCAGGTGCTGGGATTAAAGGCGTGCGCCACCACAGCCTGGCTTTAATATTCATTTTTACATAATATATATATGTGTGTGTGTGTGTGTGTATAACCACAAATCTCTTTTTATATATATCATGTGCATGCAGTGGCCTCTGAGGCCAGCAGGGCCACTGAATCTCCTGAAGCTGGAGCTACAGGTGCTTGTAAGCCACCCAATGTGTATTCTGGGAAATGAACTTGGGTCCTCTGTAAGAGTATCAAGAGCTCTTAACTGCTGAACCATTTCTCCAGCTTCATAAAACTTAAAAAAACAAAAACATCCATGTATACTGAGTGTGAGCATACATCCTTGTAATAAAAGCAACTGTAACACAGGAGTGATAATGTACGCCTGTGTCAGCATTTGGGAAACAGAGGCGGGGGAGCAGGAGTCAGTCCAGGGCCATCTGTGGCTACTCAGGCAGAGGTGGGGGAGCAGGA